GGGGGGGGGGGGGGGGGGGGGGTGTTGGCGAGCAGCCAGACACAGATGCACCACTCCACCCAGTTCCACGTCACTGCTGCTCCACCTGGCTCCACAGGGCCCCCCAAAGCACAGGACCCAGGGCGGTCACCCCACTTCGCCCCCCTAGGGACAGCCCTGAGTATAATGGAACTAACCAAAGAAAGCAAAACATGCATAATTAAAATAAGTTGGCTTTTCACACTACATAGCAGGCCTAAAAAAAGATTGGTTTCATTTTCTTGAATGAGAATTCCACTGCCAAAATTTTGAAAAAATCTAAAGAAACATATCAGTTTCACGCAGTGTTTTAAGAGAATGCTGTAGGATGAATGGTTAAGGTTCAATTATGAATGGCAATAAATGTATCATACTACAGAATCAGAGTTGAAGTTGCTTTTCAGTGGCACCATTGAAAATGTCCTTGTTTAATGGGATATGTGCATGTACCGAGCATTAGAAACCATGCTAGAATTTTCTGTCACACTGGATAGATCTGTATCATGGCAACAGTATGTCCATTCTCACTTCTCAGGAGATAAGAAGCATGTCACCCTGGAAATTAGCCTATTACAACACCCTGAGGGGCGACCCCAGTATTGCACTGAAGATGAGGCTTGTCTGTATGCTCAAAAGCAACATAGAGCTAAGTTCATCTCCTCCCCTCCCCCACACCAGGGTGTCATTACTGACTCATTTGGGGATTTTTTGTGGGAGCATCTAGACAGAATTTATTTGCCTGGCAGCAAGACTAAGCAACCTGCTACCCTTGTGACTTCAATAGTTTATAATGTTTTAGACAAGCAGTCAATTACATGCCTTGCATGCTAAAATTTGAACCTAGCAACAGCAATGATAGTTGTAAGTTAACGTAATATTTACATACAGAAGGCTTGACTGAATTCAATGAGAGCTGAGGGTTTTCAGCATCTATTGAAAATTAGGCCAATGTTTGTAAAAACTGTTTTAAATGGTTTCCAACTTCAAAGTTTTGTTAAAGTTATTTAAAGTTCTTGGAGTTCTGTTGTATTTTTCCTATTACTATCAAAGAATACAGTGCTATTAAACTATCCTACAAATGGATTTGTATATTTTGAAACAAATAATTCAAAAGGCAACAAAGCCTTATTGTATAACTGTCCAGTAGAGCAATGCGATACAATTAAATATTTAAGTAAGTCGCTACAATAAGAAATATAACTGCATGTAAAAATATAACTGCACATAAACCAATAACTGCACATGAATACCTTGGAAATCAAAAGTTCCTGTGGTTCTTCTTTTCCTCTGATGTCTATGTCCAAAACCCCAGAAAGATGTGCTAAGAATTCACCATTCTTCCTGCTGATCTCAGAAACTTGATTCTTGCTTTCTTCACATTCATCTATATATTTGCTGAAACAAATCCACATCAGGATGAACACACTTAGAAGCAATATTTTCTGTAGCAAAAGATAATATCAACCTAAGCTTATTGCAGGTTTCTATGTATTCTACACAACCTTCATCAATTAAATTGCGATTTAATACATATACTATTTTTGTATTATACTTTCAATCTTTGATCTTGACTGGCATCTCAACGAAGTCCTCAACAAACGCAACCCCATCTCAGCACCAGACTTGATAGAACATGTTAACCAGACAACCAAACACCTACATTGTTCCAGTCGGAAAAATCAAAAGTACAAGCTGCAAAAAGAAGCTGAAAATAACAAAGCTGCGGAAGACAATCTAATTGTTATAGAAATGCTAAAAGCACTTGACTTCAGCTTCCTAATGAAACTGACGGAGCTATTATCAGAAAAACATGCTAGGGAGACTGCTGAGTGCAAGACCTGCAGAGCAGAACCCATTGTAAAAAAACCCATATGCAATGTGCTACTAAACTGGGTGAAAAGGATGGAGTGGATGAAGGGTTTAGGAAAGACTAGGCTGGATTAGGCCCAAGAGAGACTGTGTAAACCAGATATTCCTACTGTTGACTATCACTAAAAAGATGCATAGAAGGGCAGGGCAGGCTGTCAGGACCCAGTCCCAAACCCCTGACCCCAGGTAATGAGCACCAGCTCAGCCCTCCGCTAAGCCACAGCTTATACAAGGAGACAGAACAACAAGGAAAAAGGCCCCACCAGAGAAAGGCCTCCCCCTCACTGACCCCTGATTGGCCTGGTGCTCCTATCCCCTGATTGGGTCTTCCCATCTGTACAAGGCTTCCTGATTCCTGGGGAAGCTGTCTAAATCAGCATTTCTCAACCTGTGGGTTGTGATCCAAAAGTGGGTCACATGAATATATGAAAGGGTCATGAGCAAACTTTAAAAAATGGATTCTCCTTTAAAAGAGAAAAACATGGCAAAACATGGCTTTTCCCTTGCAGGCTGGCAGAGTTCCAGCCTGCAAGGGGCTGCTTGCTCCCCGCAACACACACAACCACCCCTTGCCCCACACATGGTAGGGGCTGGGGCCTGGGGGCAGGGGGCAATGGGTCAGAAGTGAGAGGCACTGAGTCAGGACTAGGAATTGATGTTTACAAATGGGTCCTGGTACACAAAAGGTTGAGAATCCCTTGTCTAGATAACAAGGATCCTGCCACCCTTGGATTGCCCTGTTGTTTCCTTGCCTCTGTGCCCGGCTTCTAGACCTGACCACCTGAGCTAAGGACAGAAATTACACATAAACTGGTATAAGTAATCAGAAAACGCTTCAAATCTGTAACACAGCAACAGTTCACTGCACATAAACCACTTACAAAATGGCCAAACCCCATTTAAGATAAACTTGGATGGATGTAGCATCAGACTTAGCTGATTTAGGTTGAATTGGTTTACTGAACTTCTGTCCCAGATCTCCTCCAGGTTCAGGTTAACTCATAGTCCCCCCCAGCACCCCAGGATACTTTGCACCTCCCCCACAAACCCCTCCCCCCCACAAAGTGGGCAGGCTAGCTTTGGCCCAAGCTGTCTGCTACAGCCTCACATACAGACATGCTCTAGCACCCCCTGGCTTCTGGCTTAGGTCACTGCAGGCATGTGGCTTCATTTCCAAAATCAAAAGTAAATGTCTGTTCACTTGCTTATCAGTTCAATCTACGCAGTTTAGACTAACCTGCAAAGATTGAACTGATTAATTCTTGGGCTTTTTAATTGTTTGTGCTTAGCCCCATTGCTGACTCTGCTTGGACTTTGACCACTGCCTCTGTGTGCCATCTTGGATTGTTGTAACCTGGCTCTCACAGGTATCTAACCCAACCTGTTCCCTGATCTTGCTTTGCCTAGTATTTAGGTCCCAGTTTGGTCTCACACCCTCTGGATTTGACCTCAGCAACCCTCAGACCTTGGGCTAACAGCTAGAGCAACTTGCCAGTCAAACTACCTACACCTTGATGCATGACACAGGCTCATCTGTCACCATCAATTTCATTGAGGTTTTATAGGGCATTTGACTGCTTGCACAGACCTACATTATGGAACATCCTTCAGTTCCATGGAATTGCAGCTGAAGTCATCAAAGTGCAGAGGCACAAAATATTCTTTAAGGACAAATGACCAAACAACAGTGGTTCAGCTGGACACTTATTTGAACCAGCATTGCATTCTTTCTCTATTGTTGCCTGACATTAAAATAGAATAGATAACAAAGATGTATACAGGTAATACATACTGTAGCATAGCATGGACAGAGAGCAAATGGATCCAGGTTTGCTGATGGCATTGTACCACTGAGCGACACCACAGAGAAGGTACAAAGACAGACAACCTAGCAAAAAAGCAGTTGAAATGGAGCTCAAAGGGCATGTCTGCATTGCTATGGCAGTGTGTCTAATCCTAACCATTTCTGAGCACATCTACCCCTTGCTCCTATACATACGCAGCAGACACAGGAATACACCTATAAAGACAGTCTAAGATGTGCACCACACTTCAAGATGGACATGGATAAGCTCAAGAGGGTACAAAGAAGAGCCACCCACTTGGTCAAGGGCATGAAGAATAGGCCCTACAAGGAGAGACTCGGGGAACTTGGCCTGTTCAGTTTGAGTAAGAGAAGGCTGAGAGGTGACTTGAGATGCCGCCTACAAGTACATCGGGGTGAACACCAAGATTTAAGTGAGCAACTCGTCAGGAAGGCACCTTAAGAGAGGACAAGGACCAATGGACATAAGCTTAAAGAGGGTAAATTCAGGCTAGATATAAAGAAGAACTTCTTCTCTGTAAGGATCACCAGAATCTGGAATACACTCCCAGCAGAGGTGGTGCAGTCACCATCCTTGGAGGTGTTCAAGAGGAGGTTGGATAAGCACCTTGTTGAGCTTTTCTGAGCCCAATAACTTCCTGTCCATGGCAGGGGACTGGACTTGATGATCTTACAGGTCTCTTCCAGTTCTACAATTCTTTGATTCTATGACTATATGCGTTTGTGACTATTCAAGACCTCAACCTCTGTCATGTTTGAGAGTGGCCATTGGGGATGATCCTACAGTCTCACTAGAGTACTTTAGGTTTGGGGCATGCATGCAGGAGAGAGCCAGTAGGGCATGCTACGGAGCTTCATGGATTATACATGCTACCCCCAAATTAACTATGCCAAAACAAACATCCTTGAAATCCAGACATCAAATAGCAACCTTGCAGTAGGAGGCAAGAACATCAAGGTCTCCAACCGTATCTAAATTGTACTATATTAATCAATGGAGACCTCAAGAAATAAGTGACACTGAGGATAGGAACTACATCTACAGAATTTACTGAAGTCAACAATGCATGTAAATCAAAGATTTACAGTACCAAAATTAAGCTGAAACTCTTTAACTCAAATTGTCAGAGGCCCCAACTAGGCACCCAGTCTGGGTGAATTGATTCCTTGACAACATCTGCCTGGGGCTCTGACTGGAAGCCCTAACATCAGCATATGATCCAGCTGGCCACTGTAAGGACCTTCTGATTGGCTGCTGGGAAGTGTTCCATCTGTGGCAGCAGCTATAGGCCAGCTAATAATTTTGCCTGAAGGTCTGCTGCTCTGGTAAGCCTCTGATCCTGTGCTCCCTGGTTTTCTGGTCCCTGACCCTACTCAAGTATGTTCTTGGACTCTGGTGTTCTGGAAATCATCCTTGCACCTGGTAACTCAGTATACAACCCTTGAACTTTGACTCAGTCTGTCATTTGGACTCTGTCTTTGGATTTCCCACCTTGGATCTGGTAACTCAATCTCTTGAGACTTTTGACTTGGTCTATAACTTAGGTTCTGCTTCTGGAATCCCCCCTGGTATCAGCTAACTTGGATTATATTTCCTGCCCTTCTCCTGTAACCCAATCACTAGGCAAGACTGCCTACAACCTAGCTCTTGCACAAATATAATCCCACTACTAACAAACAGCTGGAGAGCTATCAAAACATTTAGACAGGCAATTAGATTCCTTTCAAAACAAGTGCCTACAAAAGATTCTGGGTACTGGATGGAAAAAAACTTTAAAAAGAGAGAATCATAGAAAAAAGTAGGGCTGGAAGGGGCCAGAGGTCATCTAGTCCAACCTTCTTTCTGAGGCTGGATATCCCTATCAAAACTACCCTATACAATCCATAATCTAAACTCTACATAAGAACTACCATCAACCCTGACAACACAGACATATCACCCTAACCTGCCACAGGTAAAGCAGGGGCACCACAGAAGCTAATGTCCTGCTTCTATGAAATCTTGTCAATATGTGCTCAAGAGATCCTGGGTAAAGGGCATGCCCCCTTGTCTTCTTTCTCCTGAATCATGGAACAAGAGTATGCATTTCTGATATATAAGGCACACTACCACTTTTCTCCCAACCCTACCTTTGCAAACTAGAGTGTAACCCTCCAAGTTGACTTTCCAGTCATAACAGCAGTTCCACCAGGTCTCAGTGATGCCAATTAGATCATAGTTATTTTCACAAGCTGCAGCTTCCAGCTCATCTTGTTTATTCCCCACACTATAGCACTTGTATCCTTGTATCAATGTATTTTGCATTTTGACCTCACTTCCTTTTTGCACCACTTGCTGCAGTCCTGTAGCTCTCTGACTCTTTCCCAGAGTTAAGTTGTTTCTTTGAGTCCTTTCCCCTCTGGACTGTGGGCTCTCCTGTTGGAGAGTTTTGGTCACCATTCCCCATGGAACCTAATTTAAAGCTGTCATTATTAGGCTGGTCAGAAGATACCCAAAGATGCTCTACCCCATTCTTGTCAGATCCTATCTCTTGACAGCAGCCATCATCCCAAGAACATCTGCCCATTGTTGAAGAAGCCAAAGCCTTCACCATCTCAGCCACATGTACACTTCCAGCTCACTGCCTGGATTCTTCTGTGGGAAGAATCAACCAGAGCACAACTTGTGCTCCAAGCTCCTTAACCCTCCTGCCAAGAGCCT